TGGTGCATTCTTGACTTCTTCAGAAAACAACCACTGACCGATGTAGTGCACCATGGGGTGGTGCATTCTTGACTTCTTCAGAAAACAACCACTGACCGATGTAGTGGACCATGGGATGGTGCATTCTTGACTTCTTCAGAAAACAACCACTGACCGATGTAGTGCACCATGGGGTGGTGCATTCTTGACTTCTTCAGAAAACAACCACTGACCGATGTAGTGGACCATGGGGTGGCGCATTCTTGACTTCTTCAGAAAACAACCACTGACCAATGTAGTGGACCATGGGGTGGTGCATTCTTGACTTCTTCAGAAAACAACCACTGACCGATGGAGTGGACCATGGGGTGGTGCATTCTTGACTTCTTCAGAAAACAACCACTGACCGATGTAGTGCACCATAGGGTGGTGCATTCTTGACTTCTTCAGAAAACAACCACTGACCGATGTAGTGGACCATGGGGTGGTGCATTCCTGACTTCTTCAGAAAACAACTACTGACCGATGTAGTGGACCATGGGGTGGTGCATTCTTGACTTCTTCAGAAAACAACCACTGACCGATGTAGTGGACCATGGGGTGGTGCATTCTTGACTTCTTCAGAAAACAACCACTGACCGATGTAGTGGACCATGGGGTGGTGCATTCTTGACTTCTTCAGAAAACAACCACTGACCGATGTAGTGGACCATGGGGTGGTGCATTCTTGACTTCTTCAGAAAACAACCACTGACCGATGTAGTGGACCATGGGGTGGTGCATTCTTGACTTCTTCAGAAAACAACCACTGACCGATGTAGTGGACCATGGGGTGGTGCATTCTTGACTTCTTCAGAAAACAACCACTGACCGATGTAGTGGACCATGGGGTGGTGCATTCTTGACTTCTTCAGAAAACAACCACTGACCGATGTAGTGGACCATGGGGTGGTGCATTCTTGACTTCTTCAGAAAACAACCACTGACCGATGTAGTGGACCATGGGGTGGTGCATTCTTGACTTCTTCAGAAAACAACCACTGACCGATGTAGTGGACCATGGGGTGGTGCATTCTTGACTTCTTCAGAAAACAACCACTGACCGATGTAGTGGACCATGGGGTGGTGCATTCTTGACTTCTTCAGAAAACAACCACTGACCGATGTAGTGGACCATGGGGTGGTGCATTCTTGACTTCTTCAGAAAACAACCACTGACCGATGTAGTGGACCATGGGGTGGTGCATTCTTGACTTCTTCAGAAAACAACCACTGACCGATGTAGTGCACCATGGGGTGGTGCATTCTTGACTTCTTCAGAAAACAACCACTGACCGATGTAGTGCACCATGGGGTGGTGCATTCTTGACTTCTTCAGAAAACAACCACTGACCGAATTAGTGGACCATGGGGTGGTGCATTCTTGATTTCTTCAGAAAACAACCACTGACCTATATAGTGACCATGGGATGGTGCATTCTTGACTTCTTCAGAAAACAACCACTGACCTATGTAGTGGACCATGGGGTGGTGCATTCTTGACTTCATCAGAAAACAACCACTGACCGATGTAGTGGACCATGGGGTGGTGCATTCTTGACTTCTTCAGAAAACAACCACTGACCGATGTAGTGACCATGGGATGGTGCATTCTGTAATGTTTTTTTATTTATTTTTTTTTAAATATGAAAAACATCAACGTGTTGGTGAAGTCTTTAGAAATGATAAGAAATGAAGGACAGCGTTCAAGCTGCGTAAAGGAAATAGTAGAACAAGGTATGTGGAAGCTGGAGATAGAAAGACATCACAATAAAAGAAGAACTTTTCCTCAGAAGGCGTATGCAGAAATTGTGTTTGTGTCCTGTGACAGGAACACCGAGCAGTAGACGTAAACTGATACCGTGGCGTGCGTCATTGAGTCAGTGCTATGACGCATGTAGCGACCACACTGTCGATACGTAACATTAAAGAATGACGCACGACATCAAACCTTTGCGTCATTGAATGAACACAATTTTCGTGTCTTTTATCTCTATGAAGCATAGCTGACCTAGTTCATTCTTAAGTCTTGATGTCCCAATCATCGCTACAGCAATGTAGACTGGGGCGAACACAAATCCACATAATTCTCGTGCTATTCAACAATTTACTTTTAAACACATGTTGACATTAAGAAATAATTCACAACCATTCTTCAGTAACATAGTGCATCATTGGCAAAACTCTAAAATAGCGAATCTCAACAAAACTGGACTTCCTCCCCCCCCCCCCCCCCTAACGCCCCTATTCTCTCCCCCCCCCCCAAAGCGTTGACCGTCTCAAGCCGTCGCGTGATAGGAGATCCCCAAAATGGTCTCGGCCTCTGTTTTACTCCTTATGTTACGAGCTGGGATGGTGTCGTTAAAAGGGGGGCCGATGAGTGGGAGGGGGGACGGGCGGAGTACCGCGTTCTTGAACCATTTGCCATTTGGGGCCATTTCCGTCGTCACCGGAAGCCGCTTCACGGCTTTTTGCGCACAAAATTTCGAACTGGTTTGAGAGATGTAGGGTCCAATATCCTCTCGCTAATCATTTCTTTTCACACACGGACTGGAACCAACGGCCATCATGGAGTCGGGGTGTCATTGGAAATCCCCTTGGGCTGATTCAAAATAACGAAGAATTACTAAGACACAATTTAAAAAAAAATGCTTTTACAAAGTTGGCGTTATTCTGAACATGCCGAACCAGATCTTGTGTGGGGGTGTGCGCACGTGCGTGTGTGTGTGTATGTGTGTGTGTTCATTTATGTGTGTGTGTGTGCGTTTATGTGTGTGTGTGTGCGTGAATGTGTGTGGGTGCTTACCCAAGTGTAACTGCTACTATCTCTGGTTTACCCAATATTACTGCTACTATCTCTGGTTTACCCGATATTACTGCTACTATCTCAGATTTACCCAATATTACTGCTACTAATCTCTGGTTTACTCAATATTACTGCTACTATCTCTGGTTTACCCAATATTACTGCTACTATCTCTGGTTTACCCAATATTACTGCTACTATCTCTGGTTTACCCAAGGTTACTGCTACTATCTCTGGTTTACCCAATATTACTGCTACTATCTCTGGTTTACCCAAT